GTAAAGGAATGCCAATGGAGATCATCTTTCATTATAAGCAGCAGGGGTAAGAAGTTCACAGCATAGAGATAGGAAAGATCTGGTGTGATATTTGTGCCTAGATACTGGATCAAGTCAGCAGCCCAGCGAAAGAAGAAGGGACAGAGGCGAGTAAGTATACCAGTCGGAGTAAATGTTAAAGCGGAGGATTTTGCAATATTGATATTGAAGTATGACAAATTACCATAATTTTGAAATGCTTGCAATAAATTGGGCAAGAAGGTAAGGGGATCAGAAAATGGGATCATTAGCCAACGCAGCGACCTTATTTTCCTCAGATGGTTTGCGGAAGCCGGAGATATTACAGTCGGCTCGAACTGTACACAGGAAAGGTTCCAAAGCTAAAATAAAGATCAGGGGAGAAAGTGGACATCCCTGACGTGTCCAGTTAGAGATAGGGAAGAAGTCAGATCAATCTCGATGACTGACAAAGGCCGAGGGTTGAGAATAGAGAGCATGGATGTCCCAAGACCGATATGGGTCAGGGTTGCCTGCATGAACTGCCAGTTAATCTGATCTAATGCCTTTTTGGCATCAGTAGAATGTAGGATGAGTGGGGTTTTGGCAGTCCTTGCAAGATGAATACAGTTGAAGACACGAATGGTATTGTCCCGAGGTTCCCTAAGGTCCCTGTGTATCAGGCTGGGGATGTGGGGCAAAAGCCGGCTTTTGCTAACAGTTTCAGGTCGGTACGCAAAAGTGCAATGAGACGGTAGCTATAGCAGTGCGAAGGATCTTTACCTTCCTTCGGTATCAAATAGATGTAAGCCCTGAGTGCATCCAGGGGCAAAGTTTTCCCCTTCGCCAGGGAATTATATGCTGCCACCATGCGTGGGGAGAGCAGGTCAAAGAAGGTCCTATAATAGGTTGCCGTCAAACCGACCAGACCTGGAGCTTTTTTAAGCTTAGATTGAGATAGGGCCACTCCCAATTCCTCCAAGGTGATCAGGGCATCTAGTTCCTGACAGATGGAGGAAGTGAGAGTGGGCATACTGGATGCAGCAATATATTAGTGAATCACACGTAGAGCATCCCAAGGAAGGCCCCGTGAGATGTCCAATGTAATTTTATACAGTGCCTTAAAGAAGGCAACAAAATCCAGAGGTCATGGAGTCTGAGGAGCCAACTTAATATGAGAGATGTAAATTTGGGTTCAAATGCAACGGAACGCCTGGGCGAGGAGAGTACCAGGTTTGTTGGAGTATTCACATATGGTACGATAGGACCATGCCAAACGTTGTTTAACCTTATGAAAGCGAGAATTTAATTCCTCTGGTGTCTTGAGGAGTTCTTGGTAAGTAGCCCTTGCGAAGCTTGTTTTATGGGCACTCTCCAGACCGAACCGAGCTAGTAAAGCATCAACCTGGAGAGAGCATTCCCTTTTATGTTTGGCTGCAATCGCCATCAGTGAACCCCGCAGAACTAGTTTATGTGCCTCCCACAGCGTGAAGGGGCTATCTACTGAGTAAATATTTAAAGAGAAGTACTCCGAAATTATGTGCTCTATGGCCACCCTGATTTCTGAGGATTGAAGCAGGGCTTTGTTTAAACACCAGGACGGAGGTCTACGGATATTAGGTCCTAACTGTAGGTCCATGTAAATTGGGGCATGGTCTGAAAAGGTAAAGTCGCCACTACGTGTCGACTGAACCCTGAGCAGGTCTTTTTGTTGGACTAAGAAAAACTCTAAATGGTAGTACGTTTGGTGAACTACAGAGTAGTAAGAATAATCCCTATCATGGGGATGAGAGATGAGGAAAGGTGGGAAGGTCAAACCAGGTGCAGTAAGTGGTTGACCCTTGGCGCATCTCTCATCCCCAAAAGATGAGAGAAAGAGAGGTGATAAGTGCCCTTAGATACGTCTAGAAGTGAATCCAGAGGAAAGTTAATGTCGTCACCAAAGACTAAGGTCCCCTCTATAAAATCTAGCAGTCCTGGGAGCAAACCGCTTAGGAAGGGTATGTGGTTTACATTTGGAAAGTATGCGTTGGTGAAAGTCACTGTGAGGTAGCCAATCTTACCCTTGACGAACAAGTATTGACCCTACGGGTCCTGCTGCATTGATTTGATGAGGGAGATGGGGAGAGGAACAACCCGGGATAGGAAGGCGGTGAAATGAACAAGGTCAAGCAGACCAGGGAGAAAAAAGTGAGCGGGGGCATTAATGGATGGGACAGAGAAAGGAAAAAGAAAAAGAGACGGATAAGGAAGGGAGGAGAAACAAGGAAAGGTGGGAAGGGAAAAGAAGGTGAGGAGAGTTGAGGGAGAGGAAAAAGGGTTAAGGGGGGAGTGTGGGAAGGCGAGAGAAAGAAGGGGGGGAGAGGGTTCATCTGGGGGCTCACTGGCGGCTACACCAGTCTAAAAAATATTCAAGGGAGCACCTGAAAACAAAGAAAATTTGGGGGGGGGGTAAGGAGTAGGGGTAACAAACTAAGCATAGTAAACACTAACTTCCCTCTTGGTGTGCACAAGGCAAGCCCTCTAGGGAAAGCCTTAAGGGGGGTAAAAGAGAGATGCTTGGATCAGTCTGCCTCTACTAAGGTCAAGTAAACCTGAGGTTTAGAAGCTGCAACGGTATCCAACAGCAGCAAAAATAAGCAACAATGTACCAGTATTTATCATCGGGGAATAGAAACCAGCATTACCAGATGGAAGAGAACACACATATCATGGACATGGATCTGGATCAACTCAGTGAGTACCACACACCAACACCCCCATCACCCCGGGGTAGCACCACATTCTCCCTGGTGACCCATAGAGATAGAGAATAGGGCAAAATAAAACCTGGGACAAGGCCCGACCCAGGGGTCCATGGTTATTGGAAAAGTGGGGCCCACTCAGCTGGAGCAACAGGATCAAGATAAGCAATCACAGTAAAATGCCCATATTAAACCTAAAAACAGCAGACTAAAAACTGCACAGAACGTATAACAATTACAAAGACTGGGCAATGAGAGACCGACCAACTGGAGCTGGATAGTCAGGGCACCGGATAATGGAAGATAGCCGGAATTGCATTGCAGCCTAGACAGATATCGACCCACAGCAATACTGGATTACAAAAAGTCAAAAACCCAAAACCCTAAGGCAGAGGGCCAACCCTGTATGCTATGTAGAAACAAGTATGCCACAACTCACAGAACCAGGATAGAAGCAAAAGTCACAAGGAGCAGTCCCTGCAAACAAAAAAGCTGCAAGTGTGACAAACAGTCCTCCAACGAGGATCGGCTATGCCTTGGTGGTTCATGACTTGAAGCTCTGGGGTGGGCCACACGCATCTGTTGCAGACGTGGAGGTGGTTGGCTCAAGGATGAAGCTCATAAGAGTCCAGCCAATTTGGTACTTCCACAGCAAGTTGCTCCAGAAAGTCAAATAGCGCTGGCAGTTGATCATGAGAGTGAAGATAATAGGACATACTTTGCTCGGTAACGATAAGGTGGAACAGGTGTCCCCAGCAGTAAGCGGCTTCTGACTCAATAAGTAGATGCAGCATACCCCTCATCAGGAGAGTTTGGCGAGAGACGTCTGGGTAGAACCAGACAGATGCACCGTCAAAGTTCATGGGGCCTTCGGACCAGGCCTGCCGCAGAATTTCCTCTTTGATAACAAAAGTGCACAAAGCATAATACATCTCTTGGGAGGGCGGCAGTGATGTTGTTCTCTAAAACTGCAGGAGGGCCTAGAGCATGTGGAGGACCCGGTTCAACTCCAGCTCCACAGTGGGGGGGTTCCAGGAGTTGGTTAAGGATGGCAGCTACCATCGAGCAGAGGTCCACGCTCGCCATGGTCTCGGGGTACCCCGCAGTCTCAAACTGTTCCTCCTCTTCCGGTTCTCAGCATCATCTATGCGCAGTTGGATGTCAATGAGATGGCGTCAGTATTCTGACTGGGCCAGCTCCAGTGCTGAAAGCCGGACGTCTTGGTCAGTAGAGGCAGACTTTAGGGAAGTCACTCGCTCATCCACCGAGTCAATCTGTTGGCGGAGATTGTGGATCTCATTGGAGAGAGCATGGACTATGAAGGTTGCCATGGCCTGCATGTCAAATTTGGATGGTAGGTCTGTGATCATCCCCTGGAGGTCGCTGTCATAGTGAAGGTCTGAGGGTGAGGATGAGCTTGAGTCCCCTGGGGAGTTTTCTTGAGGCAGTATAGGTGTACGAATTGGAGAGTCCGAGTGAACTGCTGAATACACCGTGGCCGCATTGGAGGTTGGCTGCGTGGTAGATGGAGGTGGAGGAAAAAGCTGGTCGGGTCGTCTTCAGCAACAACTTTGAAGGAGGGACAGCAGTAAGGGCCGGGGACACAACTGAGTATTGCCACAGAAAATGGTGGGTAATCTCCTGACTTTGAGTCCCCTTGTACCAGCAGATGTTTCCTATCACCGGGCACGAGGTGCAGCTGTCAGGACAGACTAGACTGGACAGAGATCCAAGCAGAGATTTCAGAGAAGCGTGTTCACGCCATGTCCAAGCCACACTCTAAACTCCCCAACTCTCTAAAACATGCACTAGTCACCCCTTTACTTAACTACTAGCCTACAGGGCACTTATACCCCCTTCCTGCCCAGGTCAATTTCCAGCTTTCAGCGCTGTTGCACTTTGAATGACAATTGCGTGGTCATGCAACACTGTACCATATGAAATTTTTAGCATTTTTTTGTGACAGAGCTTTATTTTGGTGGTATTTAATCACCTCTGGGTTTTTTATTTTTTCTTAAACCAAAAAACACTGAAAATTTTGAAAAAAAAAAATGTTTTTCTTAGTTTTTGTTATAAAATTTTGTAAATAAGTGATTTTTCTCCTTCACTGATGTGCACTAATGAGGCTGCAGTCATGGGCACTGATAGGCTGCACTGATGGACACTGATAGCTGGCACTGATGAGGAGGCACTGGTAGGTGGCACTGATGGCATTGACATGCATCACCGATGGGCACTGAAAGGCAGCACTCATATGGCACTGATAGGTGGCACTGAGAGGTGGCACTGACTGGCACTGTTAGGCGGCACTGATAGGCAGAACTGCTGGGCACTGATAGGTGGCACTGACTGGCATTGAAGGGTGACACTGAAAGGCAGCTCAGATGGGCACTGATATATGGCATTTATGTGCACTGGTAGGCACTGAAATGTGGCACTGGCAGGTGGCATGGATGAGCACTGACAGCTGGCACTGATGGACACTGACAGGTGGCACTGCTGGGTCTACACAGATCATCAGTGCACACTGAACATCAGTGCCCTGATGATCAGTGTAGATGCCCCTTCTGAGGGATGCCGATTACCAGCTCTCTTCTCGAGCTGTCAGTGTGACAGCTTCGTGAGGAGAGAAATGCTGATAACCGGCATTTCCCTATTTACATGCGATCAGCTGTGATTGGACACAGCTGATCACATGACCAAGCCGACATCTTAGGCTCTTTCCATTGATTGGTGATCTGCTGTGTCCAAGGGACACAGCGCACCGCCGATCGCCGTGCTGCACGCTCCCTGAGCCGCGCATGTGCGGTTAGAATGGGAGAACCGCCTTGCACCCGTCATTGTACTATATATGGCGAGCGGGAGGCGGTTAAAAGCTCCATCAATCTTAACAACCTATGCCCCATCTCCGTGCTCCCCTTTTCTTCCAAACTCCTTGAATGTCTGGTCTACACCTGACTGGGTGACCATCTTACTGAGAGCCTTCAGTCTCAATTTCACCCTCAACACCCCATGGAAACTGCTCTCCTAAAACTCACAAGCGATCTACTAACAGCTAAAACCAATAGACACTATTCTGTACTCCTACTCCTGGACCTCGCTGCTGCCTTTGACACGGTGGACTACTCCCTTCTCAAAAAACTGTACTCCTTTGGTCTTTGTGACACTACTCTTCGCTGGCTTTCATCCTACCTTAGGTACTAGGGGTAATCCTGGATTCTGCATTATCCTTTCAGCCCCACATCAATGTCCAAAGCCTGCTGCCTCAAGCTCTGCAACATCTCTAAAATGCACCCTTCCTAACCAATGACACCACAAAGCTTTTTCAGTCCATCATGAATACTCCTGCCAGACTCATCCACCTTACTAACCGCTCAGTGTCTGCTACCCCTTTCTGCCAATCCCTCCAATGACTGCCATTCACCCCACATATTAAATTTAAAATACTAACTTACGAAGCCATCCACAACTCTGCCCCCAACTGCATCACTAACCTAGTCTCAAAATACCAACCTAATCATTCTCTTTGTTCCTCTAAAACCCCCTGCTCTCTAGCTACCTTGTCAACTCCTTCCATGCTTGCCTCCAGGACTTCTCCTGAGATTCTCCCATTTTCTGGCTCCAAACTCCCTACCCCAATCTGATCGACTATCTCCTACTCTGTCCACCTTTAGACACTCCCTGAAAACCCTTCTCTTCAGAAAGGCCTATCATGCCCCCACCTAACAACTGTACTTTTATTTTCTCCATCAGTTCACCCCCACATAGTTTTTACTTTTTGTATCTCTTGACCCTCCCTGTTAAAAAGTGTATGTTCTAACGAGCAGGGCCCTCTGATTCCTACTGTATTAAATTGTAATTGTAGTGTCTGACTTATTTTGTAAAGCTCAGCGTAAACTGTTGGCGCTATATATTATACAGAATCCTTTGACCACAGTTGATGCACAGGAAGACAAACAAAAGGTCGAATTTGCTACGGCAGGGGAGAAAATTCCTTACTGGCCCCCCAAGACAAATGGATTTTCCATTAATCAACAACTCCTGGTGTTAATACCTATAAAGTGGTAATATCCTGGTATATTTTGTGCATTTAGGAATGCATTCAGCTTTTTTTTTTTTAATACTCATTTGAGCTGGCCAAAACTAGCTCCTGAGGGACACTATTACACATATGTACACCTCTTACTGTGAAGAAACCTTTCCGTATATGGAGGTCAAACCTCTTTTCCTCTGTACAGAAAAAGAGTGCCCCTTGTCCAATTGTATTAACCATTAAGTGAATAGCTTTGCACCAATTTTACTATATGGACTTGATATATGTGTTACCGGTGACCAAATACCACGGAAAGAAAGCTCTATTTGTGGGAAAAAAAAAATGAAATACATTTCATTTTATGTACAGCATTGTATGACCTCGCAATTGTAAGTTAAAGTAATGCAGCGCCGTATTACAAAAAATAGCCTGGTCAGAAAGGAGGGCAAATCCTCAAGAGGGCAAGTGGTTAATATCATTGGGAGAGTGCAACCTCCCCAGAAGGTGGTATAATGAACAACAGCAGCAGCAAATAAGTACATTTCCTAGTTGACATCAGTATTTTATATTATGTTCCAACCTATCATAGATATCTGGGCCTGTTATAAGGCCCCAGTACGGGAACAGTGTGATAGCTACAATGCAGCCACATGCATAATAAAAAGACCTTGTGACTGGGGGGGGGGGGGGGGGGGTGGGAAGGGTGAGGTAAAGAGATAAGAATAAAAAAGAAGGCTTAATGATAGATAAGAAAAGCTTATGTGGCTATTGTGGATGATAGGTGGAGGGCCAACCCAAAAGGAGCCATCTGCTGTTTTTGTGTGAGAGACCTCATGTAGTAGTGTAGAGAGATTCTCCCAAAAGGAGCTTAAAAAACGGTCAAGACCACCACATGTGTAGGATTGTTCCATTAAGTCCACATTCTCTCCAGCATTTTTGATGAGTAATTAGGGGAGATATGTGCCAATCTCTTCAGTAGGTAGTACCAACGGATGTATATTTCCATTACGGATTCCCAGTGGGTTATGTTTTCTAGAAAGCCTAGAGGGTATGCAAAGTGCTTGATACCAGACCGAGGTGGCATCTTTCCCAAAAGTCCATAGCTGGGGCCATGAGCTTGGGTTACGGATGTGAGAGTAGGTTGTAGATCAAGGAAATTCCTTGGACCTTGGGTTGTGTGGAGTTGTTAAGAGTGATAATAAAGGGAGGTTATGGCAAGTTCAGTGACAGGCAGATTGGATAAGAAGTGACAGATGCAGAGATAAAAGTCCTTGTTGCTGAGTATCTAGAAGAGAGCTGTTGATAGGGGAGAGGCCTTGAGAAGAAAGAGGTTTCCTGAGGGAATGGATGCCAGCTGTGTGCCATTGGTGGAGTGGTAGATCTGAGGATAATAATTGGAGTGACTGCAAGGGAAGTTTGATGTATTGTTTGAGCGTGAAGGCCTTTTGAGTGTTGGTGTAGAGATTTCCAGGCTGTCATGGTGGCACTGAGAGAAGCTAGAAAAGATTGTGTCAGATGATAGCCCAACCAGTTGGCACTAAGCAGCAAGCCAGTGCGGTTGCCTCAATCTGGCACCACGGAATGGATAAATTTGATGACCACCACTATTTGGTTTGGTCCAAAACAACTGATTTGTAGTGTAGCTTATTGGGAGCTCTGAGCCCAGCTCGAGCTTTAGGTAGACACACTGTGAGGGGCCGCCGAGCGGCACCACTAGCACTCCACTGGTCAGGCGTGCCCAGAGCGCGGAGTCTAAGCCCCAGGGTACTTGTTCACCAGGGCCCCTGATGGTGGGGATGGACTTGACCAGTCGCCTCTACTGAGCACACCTGTCAGTGGTAGTGGTGTTCGACCAGGGGCTCCAACCAGGGAGAGCCAGATGTGAGGAGGTCGGGTGACCCCGATGGATGATGGATGGATGGATGGCTGAGCAAGTGCGTAGTCAGACAGGCCGAGTCGGTATTGTAGAGGACGGTAAGGTACAAGGGAGCAGGCAGAGAATCGTCGGGTCACACGCCAGGTCAGCAGCAGGAGGTCAGATCTAATAAGGGGCATCCAGGGAGAGAGGTCAGGCAAGCAAGGATCTGGGCAGGAGAAATCAGCAAGGTCAAAGGCAATCCGGGTCAATAACTTACTAGGCACAGGTACAGGAACACAAGAAGCAGGTAAGACCAGAAGGCAACGAAATGACAGCTCAGGGACCTTTAAATATCCCGCCCTGCGCTGCCATTGGTGCCCAGCGGGGCGGCCGCGGCTTCTACTAGACCGGCGTCTATGCGCTTTGAGCGAGTCGAACGCCGCGGCCGGCCCGGACCTAGTGCCCGTGTGTACTAGGTGGGAGCAGTGCGCCTGCGCCGGGACCATCGCGGCAGGGATCGAGGAGATCCCTGACATTGCCCCCCCCCTACGGGCAACCTCCGGATGCCCACCCGATCTCTCCACCACGGGTGATCACAAAGAAACCTCCGGACAAGCCTAGGTGCATGGACATTATGGGCTGGGTTCCCACGAATTGTCCTCAGGGCCGTAGCCCTTCCACTTGATGAGAAATTGGGTCTGGCCCCCCCTTCGTCGGCACTTCAAGATTGCCTCCACCTCGAATTCTTCTTCCTCTTCAACTGTTACGGCCTCCGGGGGCCTGGATTCTCGTTCCGGGAAGGCATCAGGGACTACTGGTTTCAACAGGAACACGTGGAAGACAGGGTGGATCTTGAGTGTCTCGGGGAGAACAAGTTCATAGGCCACCTCATTGACCATCCGTTTGATGCAGAAAGGGCCTATAAATTTAGGTCCCAACTTTTTTGACGGGCAGAGCATCCTCAAGTTAGACGTAGCCAGCCAAACCTTCTCTCCGGGCTGCAGAACCAGATCCCCTCTTCGCTTCCTATTAAAAAGCCCTCTTGGGCTTGGCTTCCTGTAGTTTCCTATTGTTGGAGGTGAAAAAGGTCAGTGCATCCTGTGTCGCTGGAATCGGGCATTCCGGGACCAAGTCCGGGAGGAAGACAGGATGAAACCCATAGTTGGCGAAGAACGGGGACTGCCCAGTTGCTGAATGGCAAGCGTTGTTGTACGCGAATTCTGCCAAAGGGAGGAGTGGCACCCAGTCGTCCTGAGAGAATGATGTGTAGCATCGAAGGTATTGCTCCAGGGTCTGATTGGTCCTTTCGGTCTGGCCATTGGTCTGAGGTGAAATGCCGAGGAAAGGGGACAGCTTGATATCCAGGGCTTTGCACAATGCCCTCCCAAAACCGCGAGGTAAACTGCACCCCACGGTCCGAGACGATGTCTTCGGGAACCCCATGCAGTCTAACGATCTCTCGAATGAAGACTTGCGCCGTCTCGGCTGCTGATGTGGTTTTCCGTAAAGGGATGAAATGGGCCATCTTGGACAAGCGGTCCACGACCACGAGAATTGCCGTGTGGTTCAGTGAAGGTGGAAGCTCGACTATGAAGTCCATGGAGATTTTTCTGCCAGGGTCGTTCAGGGATGGGCAATGGACGTAGCAGGCCCCACGCCTTATTCCTTAAGGCTTGTTCCGCTGGCAGATTGGCACAGGAGCCCACGTAGTTCTTACAATCCTTGAGCCATGTCCGGCCACCAGAAGGAACGTCGGAGAAGTTCCAGGGTCTTGACCGGCCTAC